GTTTCTGACTCCCTATCTCTCTCCCTTCCTCTCTGTAAAATATATCAATAAAATATATATAAAAAAAGACTTGAATGGACATCATAAAAGACATACTAGTGGCTAAAAAAACACATGAAAGAGGGGAAACCAAGATGACGGCATAGGTTAAGGCCGGAGTTTGCTGCCTCGAATAACCACGTCAAAAATACAACAAAAAGACGGAATGGACATCATCCAGAACCACAGGAAGGCTGGCTGAGTGGAAGTTCTACAACTAGGAGGAAAGAGAATAGCATACCGAGACTCAGAGGAGGCGCAGTGCTGATGTCAAATACTAAGGTGCGGAGTGCATGCGGAGCGGGCTGGCGGCTGAGGGCGCGGTTGTCTGTTTCAATTGGGAGGGAGTCTCAGATTCTGAGCTCCAGATCCGGGCTAGTCTCTAGGGACCCAGATTCAAACGGGAGAAGCGGTACTGTCTGGCTTCAGTCGGAACTCGAAGGCAGCTTTCTCTCCGAGGTTTGCAGCGGTTGCTGGGACTCTGAGAAGCAGAGTCCCTGGGGACGGGACTGAGAGCAGCCATAACTGCTTGCTCCGCCCGCCCTGTTGATCCCCTGGGACCCGCCCGCCCAAGCCCTGCACAGAGGCATTTGCCGGATAGCCTCAGGCAAAGGCTAGATTAGCACCGCCCTAGCGATCCAGCACAGAAGTTCTCCCACTGCAGACACAGCTGATTCTCATAGCCAGTTGGCCTGGAGGTCAAATCACCCCCAGTATTACCGACAACAATCAAGGCTTAACTACAACAGGACTGCGCACAAAGACCACAAGGGGGTGCACCAAGAAAGCATAAAAAAATGCGGAGACAAAGAAACATGACAGAAATGGAGGATATAGAGCTCAAAACCGCACTTTTAAGATCTTTCAATAATTTTCTAGAAACTGCCGATAAACTTAATGAGATCTACAAGAAATCTAATGAGACCCTCGATGTTGTGATAAAGAACCAACTAGAAATTAAGCATACACTGACTGAAATAAAGAATATTATACAGACACCCAACAGCAGACCAGAGGAGCGCAAGAATCAAGTCAAAGATTTGAAATGCGAAGAAGCAAAAACACCCAACCAGAAAAGCAAAATGAAAGAAGAATCCGAAAATACGAAGATAGTGTAAGGAGCCTCTGGGACAGCTTCAAGCGTACCAACATCAGAATTATAGGGGTGCCAAAAGATGAGAGAGAGCAAGATATTGAAAACCTATTTAAGAAATAATGACAGAAAACTTCCCCCACCTGGTGAAAGAAATAGACTTGCAGGTCCAGGAAGCGCAGAGAACCCCAAACAATAAGAATCCAAAGAGGACAACACCAAGACACATCATAATTAAAATGCCAAGAGCAAAAGACCAAGAGAGAATCTTAAAAGCAGCAAGAGAAAGGAACTCAGTTACCTACAAGGGAATAACCATACGACTGTCAGCTGATTTCTCAACAGAAACTATGCAGGCCAGAAGGGAGTGGCAAGAAATATTCAAAGTGATGAATACCAAGAACCTACAACCAAGATTACTTTATCCAGCAAAGCTATCATTCAGAATTGAAGGTCAGATAAAGAGCTTCACAGATAAGGAAAAGCTAAAGGAGTTCATCACCACCAAACCAGTATTATATGAAATGCTGAAAGGTATCCTTTAAGAAGAGGAAGAAGAAGAAAAAGGTAAAGATACAAATTATGAACAACAAATATGCATCTATCAACAAGTAAATCTAAGAATCAAGTGAACCAATAATCTGATGAACAGAATGAACTGGTGATTATAATAGAATCAGGGACATAGAAAGGGAATGGACTGACTATTCTTGGGGGGAGGGGAAGGGGTGTGGGAGATGCGGGAAGAGATTGGACAAAAATTGTGCACCTATGGATGAGGACAGTGGGTGGGGAGTGAGGGCGGAGGGTGGGGCGGGAACTGGGAGGAGGGGACTTATGGGGGGAAAAAAGAGGAACAAATGTAATAATCTGAACAATAAATATATAATTAAAAAAATAATAAAACAGAAAAAAACAAAACACATGAAAGAAACACCCAACATCATCAGTCATTACGGAAATATAAATCAAAACCACAATGAGATACTCTCTAGGATGTCTATAATAACAAAGACATGTAACAATAAGAAGTGTTGGTAAGAATGTGGAGAAATTAGAATCCTTATACATTGCTAGTGGGAATATAAAATGATACAGCCACTTTGGGAAATAAGTTGGCTATGTTTTAAAGGTTAAACATAAGCTGACCATATAAGAAACCTATCCAAGAAGAGTGAAAACTTATGTCCACACAAGTTTGCTTGGATGAGCAAGTTCATTTGTCACACTAACCAAAACCTGGGAACAATCCAAATATCATCCACAGGTGAATAAGAAAAATGTGGCATATTCAAAAAATGCCACACTATTCAGCGTTTAAAAGAAATAGAATATGGATGAACCTCAAAAACATCATGGACAAAGCAGACACAAAAACTGCATATTATATGATCTCTTTTATGAAATGTCCAGAAAGGCAAATTCATAAACACAGCAAGCACATCAGTAGTTGTCTGGTGTTTCCATGGAAGCACGCACTGACTTCACATGGGCGTGAGGGAAACTTTTGGGTAATAGAAAACGTTCTAAAACTGGACTGCTGCTGTGAAATGACATATTTATTGAGAATTGGTAACCTGTATATTCACAGTGGGTGGATTTATGGCAGGTACTGTACGTTATTGCTATACTACCACAGACGTGTCAAAGGTGCCAGAGTAAGGGAAAAAGGGAATCAATTCTGCCCGTGTAACTGGGGCAGAGAGGGACAGTAAGGCAGAAAGGATCACACAGATTTATTTCTTCAGCAAATATTTATTGTCTACTTTGTTCTAGGTGCCTAAAATTAATATTAAAGCATGGGGTGGTTCACCGGGAGAGGAGGGAAGGGCACTGACGCGCAGCACCCAGGATGTGCCACCACAGAGATAGGGATGTGGTCCCAGTGTTCAGGGAGCCCTACTGCTGGGGGTACACAGAAGGATGACCGGGGATGGCCATGAAAAGGTCAAGGTGAAAAATCACAAGTGACATTCACTGTTTCATTTAATTATTTGTAAAACATAGGCATTTCCATTGGTATAGATGAAACTGAGGTTATATAAAGCATTTGCCTTCCCAAAATGAGTCCTGTAACAGTATCTACTGATTGTGGTGGTTATGGGAGTCACAGTGCCTGGCATGTACTAAGTGCTGTAAAAACATTTGCCATTATTTTTATTATTACTATGATGGTGTCATAGGGTCTGTTTATTAAATTTTACAGACTACCCAGAAAGCTATCCACAATGAATCAAGAGATATAAAAAAGATGTGCCTTCTTCTTTTGCAGGAACAATACATGGGGTGTGTTGCTCACCCTCACGGCATGGACTCAGACACTGCAGCTCTCTCTTTTCCAGAAATATCTCTATAGCCCTTCCTTAAACTGTCTAAAGCTCTCTTCCTTAGGACACCAATTTCACAGTGCAGACAAAGGGGGGACTGCCCTAGCTGGTTTGGCTCAGTACATAGAGCGTCAGCCTGGGGACTGTAGGGTCCCAGGTTTGATTCCAGTTAAGGGCACATGTCTGGGTTGCGGGCTCAATCCCCATTAGGGGGCATGCAGGAGGCAGCCGATCCATGATTCTCTCTCATCATTGATGTTTCTATCTCTTTCCCTTCCTCTCTGAAGTCAATAAAAATATATTAAAAACAATAATAACAGGGGTTTCCATGAAGATTAAACAAGTTAACTCAGAAGGTATAGACTGCCCAAACTGTGAACACCTCAAAGGTCTGCAGGACTGGCTTTCGACTGGCTCCTGAGAGAGAACCTGAGCCCTTGGACTATCCTGCGGAGAAGAGGGATTTGTATGCTAGAGGCTCTGGGCCATGCACCAGACCATGTACGCCAGCAATGTGAGTTATGGCGCATGCCTGTTTTCCTATGCCAGAGTCTCGGTTTGATCGCTGTGGGGCTGGAGATTGAGTTGCTAAGGTCAGCCTCATGGGCACTGCACATCCATGCAATAAGACACCCCAATATAAACCCTGGACACCAAGGCTCAGGTGAGCTTCCATGGTTTGCAACACTTTGCATGTGTGATCACACACTGTCACTGGGTGAATTAAGGGCATTCCCATGCAACTCAACTGGAAAGGAATATGTTAAAGTTTGTGGCTGGTTTCTCCTGGGCCTCACCTTAGGCATCTTTCCCTTTGCTCATCGTTGACTGTATCCTCACCGTAACCGTGAGGGGAGCAGCTTTTTTAAAGTTTTGTGAATATCTCTAGGGCATCATCAAGCCTGAAGGTGATCTTGGGGACCCATGAGGGAAAGTGCTCACAACAGCACCTGGCACCTAATGAGCATTCTACAGGGAGTTCCTATTGCCAAGTGCAGAGAAGCCATTTGAAAGACCTGAGATAGCTAGACAGTGCTATTATTTGTGTCAATCTCTTAATTTTCTTTTCATTTTCTAAAACATATTTTTTATTGATTTCAGAGAGGAAGGAAGAGAGATGGAGAGATAGAAACATCAATGATGACAGAGAATCATTGGCTGCCTCCTGCACATCCCCTATGGGAGGGGGAGGGGGGATCAAGCCTGCAACCCAGGCATGTGCCCCTGGCTGGAATCGAACCTGGGACCCATTAGTCCTCAGGCTGATGCTCTATCCACTGAGCCAAACTGGCCAGGGCTCTTATCTCAATTTTCACAGCAGGTTGGGGCTGAGATGATAAACAAGCGTGTGCTTGCTCTTTCACCCTGAGCCTGAAGCACACTGGGCTTCAGGGCAATGCTTGCGTCAGTTCCTAGCGTGTTCTGCTTTAGCCAGTGAACAAGACTAAGAGAATGAAGGTCTATTTAACAGACAATAGCTGACAGTAATCAGATTGGAAATGGTAAAATACACAACGGAGATCTCACAATATAATGCCCACCTTTATTTCCTTTATGTTCGGAAGTGATGCGTTTAGAAATTCCTCAGTTAATCTCTTCCAACTGGCAGCTTTACCAAGATCAGAATGAATGATGAATTTTTCATAAATTCTAAAACATATTTTAAAAAATGTACTGATAGTTAGAAAGTTAAATTAATAAAAAGATCTATAAAAATACATATATTTTGAATATGTACATATACACATACATATAAAACTGACTTACCCTTCTATTGTCTTTTCTACTTTGTGACTGTTGACATCCAAGAAACGATGAAATCTAGAAGACAAAATGCAATTCTTACATCAATCTTGTGTCATCTAGCTAAGCAGACCGGTATCACTGCCCTCCATGTCTCCGAACACCCTGCACTCAGCTATACTCAGCAGTGCACCTCTCTCGCTTTTTCACCTCCGCCATCCGAGCAAACAGCCACACATCTCAGAGAGTGAGTGCTCAAGTAGCCTTTCAGAATGCAGGCCATCCCAAGCCACCCCCACCCTGTCCTCTGGATCCTCTGTCTTCCCATAATGCCCTGTATTTAAGCCCAGCATAGCACATCCTATACTGTTCCGAATTTTTTTATGCTATAATGAAGCCCAGGGAAGAGTCGGGATCCCCTCTCTTAAATCATAAAATGAAATACAAAGGAAACCAAGTACACTGAAATACAGTTGTGAAGTATTTTTAAAAGTTTGTGATAAGTAAGAAACATTCCTTTTTAAAGCATTAAGTAAGATCTAGCAGTGGGTCCATAACTACCATTAAAGTGAGACATAAATAATATTAGAAATATCTGCAACTATAATAGGATGTGAAATGTGATTTCTAATAGTGACACACTCATAGGTAAGCTAATATTGTTTGTTGCTTTCATTCATAATTGAAAGAAATGCTACTTTTTAGTTAAAGGTTAGTGTGAACTTTTTCTTGTTCAAATTTAGAACCTGAATTCTATCCTCAGGCCCTCATGTTAAGAACCCCTATCCTCATCATATATAATTAACTTTCATTTCTTTCTTCCTTAAGGACAGGCACTACATTTCACCTCTCTCTGAAGTTCTAGGGCCTACAACATGGCCACAATTTTAAAAAAGCAAATGCAAATTGTTCATATTTCTGATGGATTAAAGCATCATAAAATTACTAGAGGCCTAGTGCACAGATTCATGCACATTGAAAGGAAATAAATTAGAAGGTGACCGGAGGGGTGAGAAGGGTTGGACACGCCCTGGAACCAATCTTCCGTGGTCCCTTTCTGGCTGGCCACACCTGGGGCCATGGCTCAAAGGGCGTCTGCAGAGTGAGCAGGGTCCCTTCAGTAGGTGGGGTCCCTTGGCCTGGCCTGTGGGGATCGGGCCAAAACTGGCAGTCAGACATCCCCTGAGGGGTCCTGGAGTGTAAGATGGCACTCTGCAAAGTTGCTGTCGCTTGGCAGCTCCTGCGTTGAGCATCTGCTCCCTGGTGGTCAGTGTGCATCATACCTGCCAGCTAGTTGGCCGGTCGCTTAGCCTTTTATATATATAGACAGTGTAGCTCACTGGCTCTTGTTTTCCATTCTTTTAGTATCAAAGCCAACAATCTGAACTTTGAAGTAAATTGCACTACTAAATAACATTAATTCTATCCCCTAAATGGCTGACTGGAACACTAATTCACCTTTAATAATTTAGTTGCTTACTGTATAAAAAGGAGGTAGTAACTTCTTAGTCCTTTCCCAACTCTAAAATGACGTCATCCATCTACTTACTGCCATTTAGAAAGATAAATAGAAAAATTATTTTAAATACACATTTTAGTTTCTGTCCTTGCAGTTTTATTTACAGTAGCAAAGATATGGAAGCAACCCAAGTGCCCATGGATAAATGATTAGAGAAAGATGTAGCACATATATACAATGGAATATTACTCGGCAGTAAAAAAAAAAATGAAATCTTGCCCTGTCCAGGTAGCTAGGTTAGTTAGAGTAAGGTAGTGAGTTCAATCTCTGATCACATATAAGAAGCAACCAGTAAATGCATAAACAAGTGGGTCAACAAATCAATGTTTCTCTCTCTCTCTTAAAAAGAAATCAATAAAATAAAATAATGAAATCTTACCACTTGTAACAATAGCGATGGACCTAGAATGTATTATGCAAAATGAAAAAGTCAGACAGAGAAAGACAAATACCATATGATTCCACTTATATTTGGAATCTAAAGAGCAAAATGAACAAATAAAATAGAAACAAACTGAGACAGAGAACAAACTGATGTTTGCCAGAGGGGGATTGGGTGAAAAAGATGAAAGGGATTAAGAAGCACAAATTGGCAGCTATGAAATAGTCACAGGGATGTAAAGTACAGCACAGGAATCCTATCTAATCTAATAAAAGAGAAACATGGTAATTAGCTGAACCTCCGCTACCCTTCCCATTGGCTAATCAGGGCGATATGCAAATTAACTGCAAGCCAAGATGGCGGCCGGCAGCCAGGCAGCTTGAAGCGAACATGAGGCTTGCTTGCTTCAGTGACGGAGGACTCCAACGTTCCCCACCTGCCGCTGCCGGCCTCTGAGCTTGCAGTTTGAAACATTGTTACAAATATAGAAGCTCAACAAAACTACAGAAACCTGCTTTCAGCCAGCTGGGATCTCAGAGCTGGAGTTGAAACAGTGTTTTGATTATAGAACCCAAACAAACCAGATACCTGCTTTCAGCAGCCGAGGCCTAAGAGCTGAAGCCAAGCCTCAGAGCTAAAGCTGGCCCAGAATAAAAAAAAGAAAGAAAAAAAAGGAGCAGATGGGAGCTTCAGTCACCCGCCAGCCTGAAAACAGCCCTTAGCCCCTCACCCAGGCTGGCTAGGCACCCCAGTGGGGACCCCCACCCTGAAGGGTGTGTGACCAGCTGCAAACAGCCATCACCCCCTCATCCAGGCTGGCCAGGCACCCCTGCGGGGACCCCCACCCTGATCCAGGACACCCTTCAGGGCAAACCAGCCGGCCCCCACCTGTGCACCAGGCCTCTATCCTATATAGTAAAAGGGTAATATGCCTCCCAGCACCAGGATCAGCGAGCAGCGAGGTCTCCCGGCACTGGGATCAGCGTGACAGGGGGCAGCGCCCAAACCCCCTGATCGCCCTGTGGCTCTGTGTGTGACAGGGGGCAGGGCCACAACCTCCCTATCCACCCTGCTCTGTTCGTGGCAGGGGAAGGCGCCCCAACCCCCTGATCTGCCCTGCTCTGTGCCTGATAGGGGGGAACTCCCCAACCCCCTGATTGCCCTGCGGCTCTGTGTGTGACAGGGTGCGGCGCCCCAACCCCCTGATCGCCCTGCGGCTCTGTGTGTGAAAGGGTACGGTGCCCCAACCCACCCCCCCATGGGCCCTGCTCTGTGTGTGATGGGGTAGAGCCATAACCTCCCCATCGGCCCTGCCCTGAGTGTGACAGGGTGCGGTGCCCCAACTCCCTGATCGGCCCTGCTCTGTGTGTGACAGGGGGCGGTGCCCCAACTCCCCTATCGGCCCTACTCTGTGCGTGACGGGGGCAGCTCCTCAACCCCCTGATCGGCCCTGCTCTGTGCGTGACAGGGTACGGAGCCCCAACCCCCCTGATGGGCCCTGCTCTGTCCGTGACAGGGGGCAGCGCCCCAACCCCCTGATTGGCCCTGCTCTGTGCGTGACAGGGGGTGGCACCGCAACCTCCCCATCGACCCTGCCTTGAGTGTGCCAGGGGGCGGTGCCCCAATCCCCCAATTGGCCCTACCCTGAGCGTGACTGAGGGTGGCATCGCAATCTCACGATCCACCCTGCTCTGTGCATGACAGGAGGCGGCGCCCCAACTCCCCAATCGGCCCTGCTCTAAGCCCGACCAGGGGCTGCACCTAGGGATTGGGCCAGCCCTCTGCCACCCGGGAGCAGGCCTAAGCCAGCAGGTCGTTATCTCCCGAGGGGTCCCAGACTGTGAGAGGGTACAGGCCGGGCTGAGGGACCCACCCCCCCCCCAAGTGCACAAATTTTTGTGCACCGGGCCTCTAGCCTATATAATAAAAGGTTAATACGCAAATCAACGGAATGACCGGTTGCTATTACGTGCACTGTCCACCAGGGGGCAGATGCTCAATGCAGGAGCTGGGTTCATGGCTCCAGGCTTAGTGGCGGTGGCGGGAGCCTCTCTGCCTCCCCAAAGCCCCTGAGGCCCCCGGACTTCGAGAGGGCGCAGGTCGGCTGTGGACCCAGGAGTCGGCCTCTAGTCGAGTCAACACCATTGTAATAACTATGCATGGTGCCAGGTGGGCACTAAACTGACGGGGAGATCACTTTGGAAATTACACAAATACCTAACCACTTCTAGTATGCTGTACACTTGAAACTAACAATATTGAATGTCACCTGTAATTGAAAAATAAAAATAAGTGGGGGGAGGAAGAAGAGGGAATAAATGTTGACGGAAGGAGACTTGACTTGAGGTGGTGTATTATAGAATTGTACACCTGAAACCTACATTATTTTACTAACTAATGTCACCCCAATAAGCTCAATAAAAATAAAAAAAGAAAAGCAAAAAATAATTCATTCAATCTGTAAGAAAAACATTCTGTTAAGTTACATCTAAGAACTGAGTTTATTATTTTAGAAACTTGGCGGGCTTTTACCTCGCTGTCTATTCTCATTGTAAACTAAGTAGGAACTTCATGTATGATCATTAAGGTTGAAACTCTAGATCACTGATTTTGAAAAACTGTTTAGTATTCAAGATTTCTATTGAAATTAAACTGGTATAATATTAATACCGACTAACATTCTTTTAGTAATAAAATTCCATTACAGATAATAATCCCAACAGTACTGCCTAATGTACATCTTCCATAAAGGAAATAGGAGCGCTGACGAGGTGTGTAAACTGGGCGCATCTGAACCGGTATCGGAAGCCCGGGAGGCGGCGCCGTTCCAGTGCGCGGGAACCGTTCCGGATGCTGGGATGAGACACGGACAAAACCGCCCGCCCTTCTTCCCCGGCCCGCGCCCCACACCTGAAGTTGGACCAGGCGAAGTGCAGGCAGAGCTGGAAGTTGGGGTCCACGTCGTCCCGGAGGCCCGCCACGTGGCGCACGAGCTCCCGCACGTCGCGCTCCAGCTGCGGGTTGAGCCGGCGCCGGGACGGCTCTGGCCGCGCCATGTTTCTCGGCTCCCCGGCGCCAAGTACCCTCCGGGGTGGCATTCGTTCTCGCGAGAGTTCTCTCCGCCACCGCATTCCGCGTTAGAGGCTGCTCTCGCGAGAGTTCGTGCCCCACGGCGTGTGGTGTGGGAAAGGCTGAGGTTGCTCTCGCGATAGGCGGGTGGGTCCCCGCTGGCGGCTGCAGGGTGCGTGTTCCAGTCTCCCCGTGTCCAGTTAGGAGCGTCCTCGGGGAGGTCGCCGCTTTTGTCCGTCGGATGAAGCCAGCCCCTGGGTGACCGTGGTTGGTTTCACTGCTGCTTTGAGAGCCGCTGGTTCGTTGTCATTCAGTGTCCGCCACCCGCCTCCTCAGGCGCCTTGGCGTGCAGCTATGGAATAGTCACCGGGATGTAAAGTACAGCATGGGGTCCTATATAATACTCCTACATAATAAAAGGCCAATTTGCGAGGTGCCCTCTCCCAGCGTTTTCCCCTGGAGGGGACGTTCCCTCCGCGGGATCGCGGCACCGCAGCCAGCGTGGCGGCGCCGAGCGCTGCGCCTCCTGGTGGCCGGAGAAGGTCTTATTCACCCTGAGCCAAAGCTGTCGTCTTTGCTGTTCGTAATTAAAACTGTGCCTTTAAATTTTGTTAATTATTGCGCATAACCGTTCTGAAACCTATTACATTGACCTTTATTTTTTCTTTTAGGGAACTAGGTTTTCGTGTGGTTTATTACACTGCATTCCTGTAGTTATGTGACAAGATAAAAATCCCAAGACAATCTAAAAACCAAGCATGTAAAACTCAAAGGCTAACTGGCCAAATAAGGTTTAAGTTTCTGTGGGCTGCAAAAAAACAAAAGCTTCATTTTTCATAGAAACATACGTTTAATTCGAAAAGTATGCTGTACAAATGAAAAGCACAAAAGCAATGATAAAATTAATGTTTTCTAACTGACACTTGGCATCTCTTCTCTGCTACTCTCTTTCCTACTTCGGGGAAATCTTGTTCGCAGTGATCACTTTCAAAACTGACCCCAGGTGAGCGTCAGTAATTCTGGATCTGACAGGAGACGTATTTCTTTTCATAATTGTAATAACTGCTCACACCGATAAGTAGTTCCAAACATGGAAATAATTTCATATGCGAATTTTCGAGTATTTTCACACCTGGCAGGTAAATATTTGTAAAATTCAGGCATACCAACTTCACTGAATTTTGCCTTCAAATCTGAATCGCACTGGATTTCAATTACCTCCATTTGCATTTGATTAGGTACTGATTCTATATTGAAAAAATTGAAGAAAACTTGTCTTCCAAACATTTAAATTTTCGAATCTTGTTTCAGATTCAGTTCTAAGACAAAATTTTTTTTCTGCGTATTTTTGATACGATGTGGTTTCACCTAAACTTAATTTGTTCAGCCTGCAGGTCAGAAAGTGTGTTAAATCTTCCTTTTTCAACTGCTTTCCCCAAAGAACTAGCTTACATCTGTATGCTTTGACTTGGTCACACATATTTGTAATAATCTGATCTTTTCCTTGCAGTTTTAAGTTTAATTTCTGTGTTTTATATCATCCATGAAGGATAAATCTTGCGACCATATAGTGTCAAAAAACAGGCTTGTGTCTTGATTTTTAGTTATTAAGGACTGATATATTTCTTCTTTCAAGTCCCAGAATTGCGTAAGAACCTTGGAGCAGGATAGCCACCAACCTCAGCATAGTAGGACAAGCCGAATATTCACTAATTTGCTTAAAAAAGCGGAGAACGCTGAAACCGGTTTGCTCAGTGGATAGAGCGTCGGCCTGCGGACTGAAAGGTCCCAGGTTCGATTCCGGTCAAGGGCATGTACCTGGGTTGCGGGCACATCCCCAGTAGGAGATGTGCAGGAGGCAGCTGATCGGTGTTTCTCTCTCATCGATGTTTCTAACTCTCTATCTCTCTCCCTTCCTCTCTGTAAAAAATCAATAAAATATATTAAAAAAATAAAAAAAGAAAGCAGAGAACTGTCGCTGATTTAAACTTCGAGATCTTATGAAATTGATAATTTTTTGATAGGTATCATCACATTTTCCATGTTTATTATCTTCACCCATAATAAGTCTTTTACGGTTATTTTATTTTTTTAAATTTTTTTATTGCTTAAAGTATTACTGAGAGTATTATATATGTCTCTTTTGTTTTTCCCGCCCTTGACAATCCACTGGCCTCCCATACCCCCCAGTGTCTTATGTCCATTGGTTATGCTTATATGCATGCATACAAGTCCTTTGGTTGATCTCTTACCCCCCTCCCTCCTGCCCCCCCAACCCTCCCCGGCCTTCCCGTTTGACAGTCTGTTCGAGGCTGCTCTGCCTCTGTATTTTTGTTCATAAGTTTATAATGGTCTTTATTATCCATAAATGAGTGAGATCATGTAGTATTTTTCCTTCATTGACTGGCTTATTTCACTTAGCATAATGCTCTCCAGTTCCATCCATGCTGTTGCAAATGGTAAGAATTCCTTCTTTTTTACAACAGCATACTATTCCATCGTGTAGATGTACCACGGTTTTCTAATCCATTCATCTGCTGATGGGCACTTAGGCTGTTTCCAGATCTTAGCTATGGTGAATTGTGCTGCTATGAACATAGGGGTGCATATATCCTTTCTGGTTGGTGTTTCTAGTTTCTTGGGATATATTCCTAGAAGTGGGATCACAGGGTCAAACGGGAGTTCCATTTTCAGTTTTTTGAGGAAACTCCATACTGTCTTCCATAGTGGCTGCACCAGTCTGCATTCCCACCAGCAGTGCACGAGTGTTCCTTTTTCTCCACATCCTCTCCAGCACTTGTCGTTTGTTGATTCGTTGATGATAGCCATTCTGACAGGTGTGAGATGGTACCTCATTGTTGTTTTGATTTGCATCTCTCGGATGATTAGTGACTTTGAGCATGTTTTCATATGTCTCTTGGCTTTCTGAATGTCCTCTTTTGAAAGGTGTCTATTTAGGTCCTTTGCCCATTTTTTGATTGGATTGTTTATCTTCCTTTTGTTAAGTTGTATGAGTTCCCTATAAATGTTGGAGATTAAACCCTTATCGGTGATAACATTGGCAAATATGTTCTCTCATGCAGTGGGGTTTCTTATTTTGTTGATGCTTTCTTTTGCTGTGCAGAAGCTTTTATTTTGATGTAGCCCCATTTGTTTATTTTTCTTTAGTTTCCAATGTCCTAGGAGATGTATCGGTGAAGAAATTGCTTTGGCTTGTGTCTGAGATTTTGTTGCCCTATAATACTTTTATGGTTTCCCGTCTTTATCTATTTTGAGTTTATTTTTGTGTATGGTGTAAGTTGGTGGTCTAGTTTCATTTTTTTGCATGTCTCTGTCCAATTTTCCAAACACTGTTTATTGAAGAGACTGTCTTGAATCCTTTGTCAAATATTAATTGAGCATATTGGTTCGGGCCGATTTCTGGACTCTCTATTCTATTCCATTGATCTATATGTCTGTTCTTGTGCCACTACCAGGCAGTTTTGAGAACAGTGGCTTTGTAATACAGCTTGATATCTGGTATTGAGATCCCACCTACTTTGTTCTTCTCAGGATTGCTGCAGCTATTCTGGTTCTTTTTTATTCCAGATGAATTTTTGGAGAGTTCTTTCTAGGTCTGTGAAATATGCCGTTGGTATTTTAATGGGAAGTGCTTTGAATTTATAGATTGCTTTGGGTAGTATGGACATTTTAATGATGTTGATTCTACCAATCCATGAACATGGTATGTTTTCCATCTGTTTATGTCTTCCTCTATCTCTTTTTTCAACATCCTGTAGTTTTCTGAGTAGAGTTCTTTTACCTCTTTAGTTAAGTTTATTCCTAGGTATCTTAATTTTTTTTGGTGCGATGGTAAATGGAATTGCTTTTTTAGTCTCTCTTTCTGTAAGTTCACTATTGGTGTATAGAAATGCCATGGATTTCTTGGGGTTAATTTAGTATCCTGCTAAATTGCCTATTCATTTATTAAATCTAATCGTTTTTTGATGGAGTCTTTGGGGTTTTCTTATGTACAATATCATGTCATCTATGAATAAGGACAGTTTTACTTCCTCTTTTCCAATTTGGATGCCTTTTATTTCTTCTTCTTGTCTAATCGCAATGGCTAATACTTCTAGTACCATGTTGAACAGGAGTGGTGAGAGTGGGCATCCCTGTCTTGTTCCTGTTCTTAGTGGAAATGGTGTTAGTTTTTGTCTATTGTGTATGATGTTGGCTGTGGGTTTGTCATATATGGCTTTTATTATGTTGAGGTATGATCCTTCTATTCCCACCTTGCTGAGAGTTTTTATCAGAAATGGTTGTTGGATTTTGTCAAATGCTTTTTCTGCATCAATTGATATGACCATGTGGTATTTTTCTTTCAATTTATGTGATGTATCACATTTATTGATTTGCGGATATTGTACCATCCTTGCATCCCTGGGATAAATCCTACTTGGTCATGGTGTATGATCTTTCTGATGTACTGCTGGATCTGATTTGCTAACATTTTTTTTGAGGATTTTGGCATCTATGTTCATGAGGGATATTGGCCTGTAAGTCTCTTTCATTGTGTTGTCTTTCCCTGGTTTTGGTATTAGGATGATGCTGGCTTCATAGAATGAGCTTGGAAGTGTTCCTTCCTCTTGAATTTTTTGGAATAGTCTGAGGAGGATAGGTTTTAGTTCTTCCTTGAATGTTTGGTAAAACTCCCCTGTGAAGCCGTCTGGCCCTGAGCTTTTGTTTGCTGGGAGCTTTTTGATGACTGCTTCAATTTCTTCCATAGTTATTGGCCTATTGAGATTTTTAGATTCTTCCTGAGTGAGTTTTGAAAGGTTGTATTTTTCTAGGAATGTGTCCATTTCCTCCAGGTTGTCTAGTTTGTTGGAGTATAGTTGTTCATAGAATTTTTTAACAGTCATTTGTATTTCTGTGGGGTCTGTTTTTATTTCACCTCTATCATTTCTGATTTTGTTTATTTGGGTCCTCTCTCTTTGCTTCTCGCTGAGCCTGGCTAGAGGTTCATCAATATTTTTTATCCTTTCATAGAACCAGCTCTTGGTTTCATTGACTATCTGTATTGTTTTTTTTAATCTCTATATTA